ATGTGTGTGTGTGTGTGTGTGTGTGTGTGTGTGTGTGTGTGTGTGATCTTCCAGTCAAGTAAATCTGGAAAATGCTAAAATGAACTAAGTTACATGAGTTTTTTAGATCTTTTAATATGCCTGGGTATAATGCAATATTGTGATTTTCTCAGAAAGAAAGTATTCAGTGCTCAGTGTTATCAAAATTGACATGAGGATGGGAGACTTTACATATCATCCTGAGAAAAATATACCACAGAACACTCTTTGGGAATGCTTATTGCCTTACTGCTGGGGAAAGACATGAATATCATAAAAAAAGTGAAAAGACACTACCCTGGAGAAAAGAAAATATCTGCTGTACTGTAGCAAAGTAACATGGTAATCCACATATAATACAAAATAGCTGCTGATTCTAATTGTACTTGTTCAAAGACAAAAAACATATATGAGTTCTAGATTAAACATCTGCCTACTTCTGGGTACCACTAAATTTTTGGTGTTTCTACTGCTTCCTCTAACATTTGAATTGTAAATGACCAAATCAAAAATCATTAATTAAAACACTCATACAGGACAAGGGCCTACAAGATGGTGGAGTGGTGAGCAGCAGCAAAAAAGCCTCTCCAAGATTTATAGACCTGATGCTGTAATATAGCAATTTTTGGAAGAAAAGAAAGAGGGAAGTGGGTCCCCAGTATCCAGCAAAGCTCTAAAGTGAGAATTGGAGCCCACATGGTAAGTGAAGAGAAGGACCTCAATGCAGAAGAGGGAAGCAACAAGCGGCGATTTCTCCATGAGTCCCACGTTGTGGCAAGGGATGGGTGCCTCGAATATACAGAGGCATGGTGAACACTGGTGATTCCAGAGGACTCTATGGAGAAATGCAGCAGTGGGGTGGAGAGGTGGATGATGTAGACTGCAGCAGTGGCTGGTGGGTTATTCCAGTTCAGTTCAGGTATACCGAGAAGGTGACTGCTCAGTAAGCATTTGAAAAGGGCCAGCTGAACTGGGGACTCAGCAGTGGAGGGTTGGCTCCATCTCAGGGCTCCAAGCGATAAGGTAAGACACAGCCAAGGAAGGTACCCAGGGCCAGGAAGCTGAGTTCACCTGAGAGGAAGCACTTGGGAGTGTTCTGGAATGAACAATTTGGGTCCCAGACCCACAGCAGGAAAGCAAGACCAGCCTGAATTAAAATGGAGCTGAGAGGGCAGGCTTGCTGGGATTACCCACCACCCCTGCTGTAATTCTACTGCAGGCTTGAGGGTCAACCAACACAGAACTAGGTGCTATATGCTCTTTTTGTCTACCAGGGACAACAGAGACAGACTCTGAAGTGGACATCTTTTTTCTTCCTTTCTTTGCTTTTTTAAAATATTCTTTTATTATTTATGAGAGTGAACATTGTTTCTAGTTTTGTTTTGTTTTCGGTACTCTTATGTTCCTGTTTCTTCCTTCTTTCCCTCTTGTTTTCTTCACCAGTTTCCTAAAACTTATATAATCTTCTGCTGTACTCTAGTTTTGCAGCTAATCTGTTTCTCTTTTCTATTTCTCTATATTTTCCCCTAACCTGTCAGGAGCAATTCTACATAACTTTTGGGAAAAATCATTTCACAACTAAATTATGATTAGGCCTAGTTTTCCTGCCTACAGGCCAGCTATGGCATGTTAAGAAATAACTCTATTTTCTTCCTTGGGTCACAGCTATAACCTCAATGGTTCCATGATGCTGTGACACTGCAGGGAAGGATTATATCAGCTGAAGACATCCCGGTTCCTTGAGAAATGAATAGGAAGAGAAAGGTTTCACCTGGGGAGGGACATTCCTAATCAACATAAATTCCTCCTTGACCTAGGATCTTCATCAGCATAACTTCCTCAATGTCCTAGGAGTATCACTGCCCTCTGAGTCATCCCTTACAACATACTAAATAAAGGTATGGCAAGCTCAGGGCACCTTACTCTTTGATGCCCAGAGTAGCATTTATCAGGCCCAAAGCTCAGTTTCTTCTCTAAATCTCATTTCCTGTGTTTATTCATTAATTCACCTTGTGCTGGTGGCATACAGAAGACCAGGACTCACTGCAGGGGGTTCTAATAACAACCCCTTTTTCTGGTCCTTACACTAACTCTTAAAATTCTCTACCCTGAGGTTAAAATAGCCATAATAAAGGGATAGCCACTATGTACAATTTTCTGAGTTGTTTTAGATTGTTATGTAACTACAAATCTTCATACAGTTAAGGGTGATAATTTAATGTCTACTGCAGTTTGTCATTTTCTAGACTGTGTTTGATGCTACTGGTATTATTGATTATACTACTGTATTAAGATAATATAATTCTTAGAAACAGTTGTTCTTCATTGTATGCCCAAGGCTGAGATTGCCTGAGGGTCATAAACAATACTATAACCCAGTAGCAAAGAACCAAGTGCTAGGCTAAATATGCAGCAACTTCTCATCCCCAATAAATTCAACAGGTAAGATCTTTAAACAGATTCCAAACCCAAATGCCAGCTATGTGTTGAAGTTATGTCTAAGAAACAGCCTAAGGGTTTCTTGATACAAGCAATAAAACTGCCTACTATAAACAATTTACAGAATCTATGCAGGAATTTAACTGAAGAAAAAAAAAAGGAAAGGAGAAGACATGCATGCAACACACAACCTCAGGCTTTCACTTTACCACAAAGACAAAGCCAGGGGATAATGAGGTGAAACAATTCAAAAGTCACTCACCTTGACTTCCTGAAGTGGTAACAGCAGAACTAACAAAGTAGATAGGTGAGGCTCTAGAAAATAAATAAAATCATGAATAACTTCTCAGATTACTTCAGAAATGATGACCATAATGAAGGACATGATTACTAAATCTAGAATAGATACAGATTTTTAAATTACAGGAATTTTGGAAAATGATGAATATGAATCCCCAACATGGGATAGAAATGGAATCCATGAAACAAATTCAATCAGATATCTAGGAAATTTAAAATTCTAAAATTTTAAAGGATGAATCAATGTGAGGTCAGAGTACCAGATCCAAAACACAGGACTGTGGCTATAAATCATGAAAAGACCTCTTAAAAATAGCAATGTACCATGAAAAATCAATCCAACAGCTGATAAATAATGTGAAAAAGAACATAACATTGGTCAGGCACAATGAAAACTGAGGTGACAGTACAAATGACATACAAACCCTGTTCACAGAGGTAATGGCAGAAAATTTTCTAAGAATGGAAAAAGAATTTCACATACATATGACTGAGGCATATAGAACACTCCAATTAACCATGATCCAAAAAACAAAAAAATCTAAGCCAAAGCATGTGATACTCAAAATTCCAGAAAAAGGTTATTAGAAGAAACAAATTGTTTATAAAGGAAAGTCTATCAAGACCACAGGAGACTTCTCAACACAAACCACTGAGTTAAAGAAAGCCTTAAGTGAAGTGTTTGAAACCCTAAAACCCATACTGATGTACCTAGCAAAACAATCTATCAAAACTGATGGAGAAATAAGATACTTCCATAACAAAGAACACCTGAAGAAATTCATGATCACCAAATCAGCACTTCCAAAATATTAAAAGATAATGAAGGCTAGAGCCCCAAAAGAATGAATCCACCAAGCAAGACAAGCAATTAAACAGAGGTAAAGAAAGAGAACTGGTAATAGGAAAATAACATGACAAGGATAAATACTATATATAAGTTGTAACCATCAATGTAAATGGTCTCAATTAACAAATCGAAAGAACAGACTGGCAGAATAGATCAAGAAACAAGATACAACAAAATGCTGACACAACACACTTAACTCAAAACCATTCATAGACTGAGAATCAAAGGACGGAAAACAATACTCCATGTGATGGGAAGCTGGAAAAGAAAGCGGGGGTAGCTATTCAATCGGAAGACAAACTGGATTTCAAGCCAAGACTGATCAAGAGAGACAAAGAAGTTCACAACATACTCGTTAAGGGAATAATCCAATAGGGCAAGATAACAATCATAAATATTTATGCACCAAATAAGAGAGTACCAAACTATATAAAACAAATATTAACAGACATGAAAAATCAAATAAGTACTAATAAAATTTTACTGTGGAACATCAATGCCCCACTGTCACAAATAGATCAACTACACAAAACTACCAACAAATATGAGATCTGAACCAAGCTTTTTAACAAATGTACACAGTAGATGTCTACAGAGCGCTCTACCCCGTGACATCAGTATAAATATTCTTGGTTATACACAGATGTTCTCCAAAATAGGCCACATACTAGCTCATAGAACATGCTTAGGTAAACAAAAAATGACTGAAATTATCCCCTGGATTATAACCAGACCATAGTACAATGAACTTGGGAATCAATGGCAAAAAATTGCACAAAAACTGCATAAATACATGGAAATTAAGTAACACTGTCATGAACAGCCCATGAGGGGAAATTAAAGAAGAAATTAGACAGTTTCTACAATTAAATGATAACACCAATACAACATACTAGAAATGATGGGATGAACTGAAAGCAAGAGTATGAGGGGAATTTATAGTGGTAAATTGTTATATCAAAAAACAGAGCAAGCTCAAATAAACAACTTAATGTGGACCATCAAGCTTCTACAAAAAGAGCAAGTTAAGTCCAAAGCTCATCGGAGGGAGGAAACTAGAAAAATCAGAGCAGAAATTAATGCAATTGTGACTAACAAAACAATACAAAGAATCGACGAATGGAAGAGGAAGAGTTGGTTCTGTGAAAGATTAAATGAAACTGACAAACTTTTAGCCTACCTTATCAAAAAAAAGGAAAGACTCAAATCCATGCAATTAGGAATGGCAAAGGTGAAACATCCTGCACAAATAAAGAAGATCATCAATAACTGCTTTGAAAAACTGCATTCTAATAAGATAGAAAATACAGAAAAAATGGACAGATTTCTAGACACATCAATTACTGAAACAATCAAGAACACATATAAATTCTAAATAAGTTAACTCCAAATACAAGTCAATGAAACTTCAGATGTAATTAAAAACCTACCAGCAAAGAAAAGCTCAGATCCTGACAGATTAAATACTGATTTCTACAAAGATCTAATGCAATGCTACTGCTCCTCAAACTCTTTAATGAAACTGAAAGAAAAGCAATACTCCCAAACTCATTCCCGGAAGCAAGCATTGCCCTGATACCAAAATCACAGAAGGATCCAACCAAAACACAGAACTACAAGCCAATCTCCCTAATAAACACAGATGCAAAAATCCTAAATAAGACACTTGCAAAAACAATACAGCAAATCTTAAAGCACATTATACACCATGACTAAGTAGGATTCATCCCAGGGATACACAGATAGTTCAACATACATAAATCAGTAAATGTAATAAACCATATTAACAGAGCCAAGGATAAAAACAGCATGACCATTTCAATAGATGCAGAAAAAGTATTTGGCAAAGTTGAACATCTATTTATGGTAAAAACCCTACAGAAAAATAGAATACGTGGACTTTATCTTATTTTGATAAAACCCAACATCATACTAAATGGACAAAACCTGAAAGCTATTCTCTTTCTTGGTATCTTCTCAAAAGATCTGGAAGGGTAATGCCACAGCAATATATCCTTACCCACATTTATAGCACCACAATTCATAATAGCTAAATCGTGGAAACAGCCCGAATGCCCAACAATAAATGAATAGATAAAGAAGATGTAAACTGTTTTATGCAAAGGAGTATTACTCTGCTATAAAGAAGGATAAAATTGAGACATTTCTAGGTTAACGGACACCCCTTAAGACCTTAGTCTTAAGTGAAATAAATCAGACATACATGTTGAAATATTGCATTGTTTCTCTAGTGTGAGAAACTGAAAAGGTAAATAAGGATCAAAATGTGCTGGGAAGTGGGAAGAAAATATTCAAATTGGAAGGGAGGAGAAGGAGAGAGACAAAGGAAAAGAAAAAGAAAATGGCAACAAAGCTTTTGTAAATAAGAAGGGGAAGAAGCATTGGGGGATTGAGGAAATAAAAGAATCAAGATACATTATGTACAGGTAGAAATTCCCTATGATGAATGTGACCACTTTCAAAAATGCACCAATAAATTTAATGTTTTTTTAATCGAACTCAGGACCTCACATTTGTGAGGCAGGCGCAGTGCTGAGTTAATTCCCTAGCCCAAAAATTAATTAAAAAAAAAACTCATATATACCAAGCAAATGAAAGAAGCATTATGGTAATGTTTCTCGAATTTTAATGTTCATATAAATTACATGGAAAATTAAATAAAATGAGTCTGTAATTTAGTAGGTGTAGGATTGGGCCCAAGATTCTATGTTTCTTCAAAGCACTATGGCTATACTAATACTATTAGTCTGTGGATTACATTACAGATATAATGGGGCAAAAAGTTTAGGCCTCTAACTTATATTCATTGGCTTTTATCTTTCAATCTGTTTTCAAAAGATCTAACTCTTCTACTGGAAAACAACTTTCGTTTATAAAAACAAACGGCACATAAAACTGAACTAAAAAACACTTATTTATTAAATCACTTTTTATTAGAAATGGCAGCTCCCTACAGCTAGCAATAAAAGTTCATTTACACAAAATCAGTTTTTAATTTAAATCCACATTCTACTTCTACTTCCAAATACCCACACCAACAATATAGAAACACACTGACTTTCCTGATAAAGTTGTCTCCAATTATATTGACTTATAAACCCTGGCACCACTCAAAAAACACAGGTTAAAAACCAGCATCTTTCTGGGCTGGGGATTTAGCTCAGTGGTGCCACTGCCTGCCTCACAAGAATAAGGACCAGAGTTTGATCCCTGGTACCAAAAACAAACAAACAAACAAAAAACAACAAACAAAAACAGCATCTACCTCAAGGATGTACTGAAAGCAGCAGCTGATTTTAATAAAACCATCCCAAAACATAAAATTGATTGAATTAACTGCTGTGTTGGGGGACACAACAGTTGATTAAAATCATTTAAGAGTTTTATTCTTACAGATTTTCTTTCAAGTTCTGAAATTTTCTCCTATACTTTTACCTTCGAGTTAAAAAAAAAAAATCACTGAAATAAAAATGGATCTTTAAATCAGTGAAATCCAGATCAAAATTATGCAGGGCAAAAGAATACTGTAATAATAAAAAATAGGTCACATATAGCTTTAAAAAATATATATATATATACACACACACATATAGAGGACATATATATATATACATATATATATATAGACCAAAACTAAAAATTACTTTTTTCTAGAATAAATTTGTAAAATAAAATGAGTTTAAAACTTATTGTGATGTGAAATGTTTTGTGGCTTTTTCTAGAAGCAACCCTGTCATTTAGCAAAGTATTTACATCATTATATGACACTGACCTCATTACTTATCAAGGAACAATTTATAACAGAAATTATTTTTCCATATAACATTAATTCACATTAAACATTTTAATATACTAAAAACAATATTTATCTCTTTGCATGTTACATGGTGGCTATACCATCCACAATAAAATAATTTTACAGCATTTTTGTCAGACTGAAGGACACAGATAAGACAAGTGTTTAGATTCTTCTCCTTTATGTTGTCTTTGATCACTAACAATGCTGTGTGAACAGTCAACAGAAGGCTGACATTTCATAAAATATGCAGTGATAAAAACTAATACTGTAGCATCTGGGAGCAATATATAAAATGCAGAAATACACCTAATAACTGTGATCTTAAATTACCAGCTACTAAAAGCT